CACCTGCAGCTTCTCAAAGACCTTTTTCTTGGGTTTGAGCTCCTCGTCGGGCTCCCCACCCTCGTAGCCCTCCACGTAGACACGCTCCCCAGCGCAGCACCCGGCTGGGGGGTCCAGAGGCTCCACTTGACGAGGTTCCCCCACACTAAGGAGAGGTGTGGAGACACCAGAGTCACCCCAGGGTGCTGCCCAGCTGCCCCTCAGCAGCCTGAGGCAGGAGGGGTGGCCCAGCCCCGGTATCCCCTGTGTCCCTCACCTGGAGGCACACAGCACCATGCCCTGCGACTCCACCCCCCTCATCTTCTGGGGTTTGAGGTTGCAGAGCAGCACCACGAGCCTGTCCTGCAGCTGCTCCTTGGGGACAAAGTGCACCAGGCCGCTGACCACGGTGCGGGGCTCGGCCTCGCCCACGTCGATCTTCTCCACGTACAGGCTGTCGGCATCTGGGTGCTGCCAGGGGGAGCAGGGATGGGAATGGGGTGGTAAAGAAGGTGGCAGTCCCCTCCCAGGCACACCCCAAATGTCAGCACATGGGAGGGTTCCTCCCCTGTCCCCATACCTTTTCCACACTGATCACTTTGCCCACACGGATGTCCAGCCGGGATGGGATCACATCCTCCGGCTCTGAGTTCTTGGTGCCCTTCTCTCCAGGCTCTGCAGGGTGAAGGGAATGGTCACAACGCTCAGCACAAACCCAGGAAGGTGGTCAGCCCCAAATGCAGACCCTGGGGTTAATTTCCTGCAGGGAATTCCATCCTTGTCCCTCCATCCATCCCATAAAGTCCTTCCTGTGCTGGCTTTCCTCACCTTTCCCAATGTTCTCCATGGCTGTTTTTGAGTCTGGAGCTTCAAAACTTTTCTCTGACCTCAGCTCCAGGAGGGAGCTGTCCCACTCAGCCCTGCATGGCCAGGGCCCCATTTCCCTGAGCTCCCAGGACCCCACCTCCCCAGGCTCCCAGCCCCTCCTTACTGGCTTTGGATGGGGTGGGATATGCAGCACTGCTCAGCTTCTTCAGCTCTGGGCAGTTGAATTTCTCTCTGATGGGGTCCAGCAGTTTGTTCAGGGCCACTTCCACAGAGTTCTTCAGGTCTCCAGGGTGCACAACCTGTGTGAGGACAAAGATGATCCTGTCTGAGGCCATGGGTGGGAACTGGAGACCAAACAGGGCAGGAAGATGAATCCCAAGCCCTTGATCTGATTGCCCTTGGACATCAGAAGTTTCTGGACACTTCTACCTCCAGCCTCTGCTGGGAACAGCTGGGAAGGGTTAAACTGCTGCTTTGCTGCAGGATGTGGCTGATCTGGTGCTGTCCTGACCTCACACCCTTCACTCATCCTCTCTCCTCTGGGCTCTCCTGCCTGGGAGCATCCCACACTACCAGGCCACACTCCACACCTCCTCCCAGTGCAGATTTCCATCTCCCAGTGCTCCCAGATTGTTCCCAGGAACCTCAGGCAGAAGGTTCAGCCCCTCCCAGCACTCACCTGCTCAGCAAAGTCCTTCTCCAGGGCCTCGTAGGCCGTGTAGGTTTTGTTTCCTCCCCATTTTTCCTCTCGCAGGACCACAAACTCTGGGACAAAGCAGGATTTAAAGCTCAGATTAACTCAAGGCTCAGGTAAACCACTGACCCCACCCTGCTCAAGAGCAGCTGGACAGGTGGCACTCAGGGACAGCCTTGTCTCAGGGGACACACTCCTGTCCCCTCCTCTTGTCCACACCCCAGCGTGGCGAGCTCCTCACCTGACTTGAGGGGGAAGAGGACGTGCTTGATGAAGGAGAGGACACCGTTGTTCTCCACGTTCCCTGGCTCACAGAAAGCCTTCTTCAGCTTCTTCTTCACGTCCTCCTTGCGGTCCAGGAGATCAATCTTGGAGTCCTGCAGCAAGAGATTTCCTCAGCCCTTCACCCAAGCTTTTATCCAGGAAACTCATGCTGGAGTTGCTGCACCTTCTTAGAACCCATGTGAGTGAGGAGTGAGAGCTCACCTCCCCTGGGGTGGTCCCCTCAGCCCCCAGCCACCAAGCTGTCCCCCCAAGCACCCTGAGCACAGCCAGATCCAGCACCAACCTCTTCTGACGAGCTCATTTTGCTTCCTGTCAGCCCAGGAACCATGGGGTTCATCAGATGGACACGCTTGGCATAGCCCAGGGAAGGGAGGTACTGGGAAAACACAAGGAGGCATGTCAGAGACAATCCTGATTCAGCTTGAACTCACAATCCCTGTTTGCTCCTGGCTCCAGGTAACTTTGGAAACTGGGCTAACAGCACCCAGGAAGGGCAGAGTCACAGCCAGGGATGTGTGGCTGCACAGAGCACGGGAGCAGCAGCAGCACAAAAAGCTGTGACATCAACCAAAATCCCACACACTTCTCCCAGTGGATTGCGGAGTGGCCAAGCCCTCCCTCAGGCCCCAGCCTGGCAGAAATCCCCCCATTCCTGACCTTCTCTGCGAAGGTGAAGATCTTCCTCTGATCCACCCCTCCAAACTGCGCGTCCACCTTGAGATATTCCTCATCCAACGCCTGTGGAGAGACACAGAACAGTCCTGGCCTGTCCCTCAGCCTCTCCTGGGGCACTCCCAGCCAGGCAAGGTCAGGAACATTCCAGACTGTTTGCTGGAACAGCCGCTCCGTGCTCAGGCCAGCCTTTGTGCCGCCGCCAGCTGTGACATTGGGGTGACAACCACGACCTTGGCACTCAGCCCCCAACACCCCCGTGGGCCTGGCACTGCCAGCACCTCCCTGGCCACCAGCCCTGCCTCACCTGCAGGCCTGGGTAGAGCAAACCACTCAGCAAGGGATGCTCCACCTGCTTCACCACCTCTGCCCCGGCCTTCTTGGCGTCGTGCTGCGTCACCACGGAGGAGAGGCGGTACACGTCCAGAGTGTACTCCCTGTGGGGGACAGCACTGTCACCATGGGCATGGGGACAGCTCTGAGAGCTGCTCCTGACCACAGCATTGTCACCATGGGCACAGCTCTGAGACAGCCCCTGACCACAGCACTGTCACCACGGGCACGGGGACAGCTCTGAGAGCTGCTCCTGGCCACAGCACTGTCACCATGGGCATGGGAACAGCTCTGAGAACTGCTCCTGTCCACAGCATTGTCACCATGGGCATGGGGACAGCTCTCAGAGCTGCTCCTGGTCACAGCACTGTCACCACGGGCACAGCCCTGAGAGCTGCTCCTGGCCACAATGACAGGGGACAAAGCCTGCAGGTGCCTCCTGGATATTATATATTTTAGGGATAATACTGAATTATACATAATAGTATTAGATACATATGTAAAAATATATCATATGTAATAAACATTATATAATATATCAATGTTATATTTATATTCTACATATAGAATATGTAATATTGTTTTTATATAATTATATATTATTATATGTTATATATTACATTAATATATAATATATAATATTATATATAATGATAAGCTAATATATAATAATATCTAATCTATATAATATTATATCTATTATTATATCTATTATATATTGTAATATGCTTTAATATATATTATATCATATTACATTATATTACTTACATTATTTATGTATATATATATATACACACACATACACACAATATTAGTCACTCCAATAAATCCCTACTTTTTCCTTTAACTCCACCCAGCCTCTGTTCCACCTCAGCCTCCAAGGCCCCACTCCCTGCCCGGGACTCACTTGCTGAGCTGGTAATCAGTGCCCCGGACAAATCTGAGCTTCTCCAGGGGCACCCCGATGCTCTCCAGCATGGCTTTGATGACATGCTCATAGTAGCGGGTCCGCAGCTCCAGCAGCTCCCACGGAGCCTTCATGTTGTCCAGGTAAGCGTGGAGATCAGCAAAGAGGATTGTCACCTAGCACAGGGGACAGCGGGTCAGGGCAGCCGTCCCTGCTCGCTGCAGGTGTCAGCCAGCAGGGCGGCACTGCCCCACCTCGCAGCCAGCCTTGAGGAAATCCGCGATCTTGGACATGGGCACGAAGTAAGCCACGTGCGGCTTGCCGGTGGTGGCGGTGCCCCAGTAGATCTTCAGCTCCCGCTCCTTCAGGATGGACAGCAGCTTGTCCTCGCCCAGCACCTCCTGGCAGGGGACAGAACGCGCGGAGCTGCAGGGACACACCGCGAGGGACACATCCCGCGGGGACACATCCCGCTGGGTCACACCGCGAGGGTCACATCCCAGAGGGACACACCGCGAGGGACACATCCCAGAGGGACACATCCCAGAGGGACACACCGCGAGGGACACATCCCGCGGGGACACATCCCGCTGGGTCACACCGCGAGGGACACATCCCAGAGGGACACACCGCGAGGGACACCACCCCCGGGGTCACATCCCGCTGGGTCACACCACGAGGGACACATCCCAGAGGGACGCATCCCGCTGGGTCACACCGCGAGGGACACATGGCGAGGGACACATCCCAGAGGGACACATCCTGGGGGGTCACATCCCGGGGGGTCACACCGCGAGGGACACAACGTGAGGGACACATCCCGCTGGGTCACATCCCGGCCTTGTCCTCCTCAGATCCCCCATCCCGGCCCCGGTCCTGCCCCGTTCCCCCTTCTCCCACCCCAGTCGCCCCCGATCCAGCCTCAACCAACCCGCCCACCCCCAATTCCTCCGCCCGACCCCGATCCAGCTCCGTTCGTCCCTCAGATCCAGCCCCGATGCCGCCGCTCGTCCCCCCGGGCCCAGCCCCGCCGCCGCCGCCGCCCCGGCCCCATCCGCCTCCCCGGTACCTGCAGGTTCCGCGTGATGAGCTGATATTTCTCCTGCGGGCCGGGCGCGGGCTCCATGGCGGCGGCTGCAGGGCAGGACACGCGGTTACCGGAGCCCCGGTTCCCTCCGGTTCCCCTCCCCGTTCCCCTCCCGGTTCCCCGCCCGGTCCCACCGACCTGCCACGGGTTGCATCAGCCCCGCTCGGCGCTCGACTGCCGCGCCTGGGCCTGCCGAGCGCCGAGCTGCCGATGCAACGAGAGGGAAGAAAGGAGGGCGCTCTCCGCCAATCAGAGGGCGCCTCGCGCTCGCGGGGGCGTGGCCTTGGCGCCGTTAAGATGGCGGCGGGTGAGCGCCTTTCCCGCCAGGCCCGGCCGGGCCGCGGCCGCTGCTTGGTCTCAGCGGAATTTAATTCTCCCTCGTTTATTTTGGGCGGTTTTACCCCTTTTTTCCCGTGCCTCGGGGAGCTCCCTGCGTTTGGGTGGGCCGGGAGGAGGAGCCGGGGGCGGGGCGGGCTGGGCCCCGCCTTGGGGCGGTGCCGTTGAGGCGCCGGTTGGGCGGTGCCCGCTGAGGGCCGGGGCGGTGTTGGATTGGAACCCTCGGTGAGGGCAGAGCGGGGCGATACCGCCTCCTGAGGTTTAAATCTCCACAGGGGAAGGCTCCGGGGTGACCCAAGTGCGGGGTTTGGTGTCTGAAGGGGCTCCAAGCGGGCGTGAGGGGACAGGACACAGGGAATGGCTCCCACTGCCAGGGGAGATGGGATATTGGGAAAAATTCCTCTCTGTGAGGTCCTGGCACAGATTGCTCAGAGAAGCTGATGCCTTGTGAAGGCTGAGCTAAAACACAGGCTAGGCAAAATGAAAGAATAAAGTAGGGATTTATTAAAAGGCCTCAATGGATCCACCTTGGGCAGCACAAGAGCCCAGCCAGGGCTGCACCCAAATGAAGGATTTTGTGTGAGTGTCTCAATGACTAATTCCCTGTCAGGGTTTCTCTTCCTTTGCTCGGTTTTTCCCAACCCAAAAAAAGATTTTTTTTTTTTTTAAATGTGTTTATTTGTATCTCTGAAGGGCGGAGGTGGGGGTTGAGACACTTGGAGGATTTACTTAACGCCTCAGGCGTGTTCTGCAGTTGAAGGCTGTGATTTGGGATTCCTGGGGTCTGCTGTGAGGGACTGGCAGCAGTTTGGGAGGAGAGGGCACAGCCTGAGGGGGTTTCACTGCTTGAGGGAACACTCAGGCATGAAGGATGGGTTGGGACCTAAACCAGTCAAGAACAGAGATCAAATTATGGTGGTTTTGCCTTCCCTGTTAAATTCCAGCATTTTTGGGGATCCAGCTGAGTTCCTTTCACCGAGCATGTCACTTCTGCTGGCAGGTTGGAGCTGACTCCTGCTGATTCCTCCTCTGGAAGGGCTGATCAAAGGCCTCCAGCAGCAGATGAGCCTCTAGAGCTGGAAGCAGAGCTGCAGGAAGGCGCAGAGCCATGGCAGAGAGCTGCCCTCCCTCCCCTGGGCTGCGGCAGGGCTCGAGGCAGGAGCCGGTCCCCAGGGCCAAGAGGCTCTCGGATTCCACAGCGCAGCTGCAGGCCCTGCAGTCAGCCAAGAAAGCCTGCGTGCTCGGCCGTGACTGCAGCACTCCAAAGCCAGCAGGGAATCCTCTGCTCCCTTCCCCAGGCTCTGGCTACTCTCTTTTCCTGGATGAGAGTGGGCAGGAGGAGCTTGGGGCCGGTTTTTCCGTGTCCAAGTACAACGACGTGGCCATTTCCCTGGACATCAGCAGGTGCTTCGACGACAGCGAGCTGGATGATTCCCTGCTGGAGCTGTCAGGCAGTGAGAAAGGGAATTCTCCCTTTGATTACACGGAGGAAGAGATCCAGGAAATCTTGGCAGATGATTCCATGGAGGCTGAGCAGCAGCAGCTGGCTGCTGAAAGCCACCTGAGCCAAAGTGAGAGTGGGAAGAGCGAGCAGGCCCAGAGCAGCGGCTGCACCGTGGGGACGTCGCTGAGTGAGGCCTCAGAGGTCACACAGGAAGCAAAGGAAGCCCAGGAGCATCCCTCAGGCAGCTCTGGGTGTGATCCTGGCTTTTTGGGTGGCACTGCTGCTCTGGATGGGGCTCAGAGGCTGCAGCAGGAGCTGGACCTTGACCTGCAGGAGCTGCTGAGCCTGAGCCCGTTCGCTGCCGCCTGCGCCGACGAGGCTCTGGAGGAAAACAACCTGGAAAGAGAAACTTTGGATGCCATGATAGATGATTGCTTGGGATATTCCACAGCTGCTGGGAGCTGCATTACTGAAATATCCTTAGAAAGGGTGATGCCTAAAGGCCAGGAAAGCCTGGCTCGGGATTGCCTGGGAAAATCCGTGCTCTCCTCCGGCATTCCCTGTGGCCAGAGCAGAGGGGATGAAAGTCCAGCATCTGTGTTGCCACTCAAAAAAGAACTTCCCAAAGCAACAGTGAGCAGTTTGTCAAGGAAATCAGGCTCTCCAGAGGATGCTGAAGGGGAATCCAGAGGAGCTGAGCAGCCACCAGGCAGCACTAAAGTAAACTCACATCTTCATTCTTGGAACTTGAATGTTTTTAATCCCATCCCTTTGGATTTGTCCATGTGCACACAAGTGCCGTGTTGATACAGGGGAGGTTTTTCAAGTGGATTTTTATATCCCTCTATAAGCAAAACTTAGATGGAAAAGCTTTGTTACATGTTAACCCCCTTTTTCCTTCCCTTTCCAGTTAAGGGACACAGCTGTAGGCCAGAGTGGGCAGGAAGAGCCACCCAGTTGGAAGAAAAGTGGCAAAGTAATTCCTGTCCCAGAGGAGGAGGAAGAAAGGTAATTTCTTAGGAAATCTGCACTTTAGAAACCATCCCAGCTGTTTCCTCCACCACTTTGTTGGCCGTGTGTTGCTGGGTTTATTTCTATTTTTAAATGAATAGTGGTGAAAACAAGAAACATTTCACCCTGTAAGATACTGGAAGAGGAGAAAGAATATCGGGAAGTGGGAAAGGAGGTGGATCAGGCAGTTTTGGGCCGTGGTCTGCAGGCAGGAGAGGGGATGTTTGTGCCTCCCTGGCTGCTCCTCCCGGAGCCGCTCCCTGCAGGTGGCAGCAGCAGAGCGGGTCGGGATGTTGCTCCTGCTCTTCCCCGCTCCTGGAAGCGGCACATCGGGGCTTTCCCCCCTCATTCTGAGCGTTGTTGTGTGAAAAAGAGCTTTTTTTTTTTTTGCTTTTGAGAGCTCCCTGCGGGTTCCCCTTGTGGTCAGCAGGGCAGTGACCGGCCGGGTGGCTCAGCTGCTTTGCTCTCGGCGTGGTTGATCTTTGGCAGCTTTACTCAAATAAATACTTTCATTCTTTCAATCCCAGAACAGTGCTATAAGAATGCCACATCTGCCATAGTTCTGCAGGGCTCTTTGTCCTCTCTGTGAACTGTAACCTAATTTAAGAAATAACCTAAAAAAAAATTAACACAATTTATTATTTTCAAGGCCAAAACAACGGACCTGCATTTCAGAAGCACAGCCTGAGCAAAAGAGACGTTTCTCTCCAGGCTGTGCCAATCCAAGTGAGGAAAGGTGTGGCTATTACCTCAGGTAACCCCCAGGTGGGATGGGATGAGGCTGTTGGGGAGGGAAAAATTCATCTCCTGGCTGGACCTGAGTTCTTTATTTGGAGTGTGTTTGTTTTCAGAAGGGAATAAAAAGTGCCCGTGACACTTTTGTGCACTGCCATGCACAGAATTCCTGCACAGGAATCAGCCTGGCTCCAGGGCTGGCTCAGAGGAGTTTTACAGATATCTGGGAAATATTTTGAAGGGGTTTTGGTGTGGAAAATCAAGGATGCTACCAAAAGCAGGTTTGTATTCCCTGGGAAAAGCTGAGCTGAGCCCTGGCTTGTTCTGTTGGGGATTAACTTGGTCTTGTCAATTCACAACTATCCCAGAATCATCAACATTGGAAAACACCTCCAAGAACATCGAGTTCCCACCTTATCACCAGACCAGAGCACTGAGTGCCACCACCAGGACTCCCTGAAACCTCACATTGGGGGAATCTTGAGCTCAGGTGCTGAGATTTGGACTCACACTGGGGGAAATGAACTCAAATGTTGAGATTTGGACTCACACTGGGGGAATTGAGATAAAATGCTGAGATTTTGGTTAAGACTGGGGGAATCTTGAGCTCAGATGCTGAGATTTGGATTCAGACTGGGGAAATTGAGCTCAAGTTTTTAGACTCAGACTGTGGGAATCTTGAGCTCAGGTGCTGAAATTTGGACTCACACGGGGAATCTTGAGCTCAAATGCTGAAATTTGGACTCACACTGGGGGAATCTTGACTTCAAATGCTGAGATTTGGATTCAGACTGGGGGAATTGAGCTCAAATTTTTGGACTCACACTGGGGGAATCTTGAGCTCAAGTGCTGAGATTTGGGTTTATTTTTGACACCTTCTGTGTTGGCTCAGTGGTGTCATCCAAGAGCCACTGACTGTGGGGGTGTGCAAAGGAAGGTGTTGCAAAGAGGTTTGGATTTCAGCTCATGGGGGACGGGGGTGGTGCCAGATCTTTTCTGAGAGTCTAATAAGTTTGGATTTTAAAAACAATGACTCCTCCCTGGTAGTCTCTCCCCAGTTAATCAGTATTAATCCCAGGGGACTGTCTCTAGGGATATTATTGCTACAACACTGGCAGGGGAATGTACACCCCATATTTTAACGGTTATGAGTAGAAATTAAAGAAAAAAAAAAAAAACCAAGGACAGAGGGAGAGGGGAAAAAAGGGGAAATTCAAACCCCTGACCCTTCAAAGTCGCAGGATCAGGAGTCAGCCCTTGCACCACCCCTGCTGGTGTCTCACCGGCAGCACTGCGATCTAACCCCGGCTCTCAGAGCGTCTGCCCTCACTGCCAGCGGGGGAGATGGAGAGCACCGCACCCCGCCCGCATTCTGGGGTACAAAACTGCCCTTCACACCCACCTGAGGTGCTGAACAGAACACCCTTCATCTGCTCACGTGTCTCTGTCAGCTCCCAGGGTTTTTGTGACACCTTCTGGGTGCAGCTGGCGGCAGGAGCTGGGTGTTCCTCTGGCTCTGCTCCAGAGGGGTTTCCAGGTGCTTTCTGTCCCTTTATGGTCACCAGAAACTGATGCCCAGTGAAGGCTGACCCAGAACAGAGGCTGGACAGAGTTAAAGAATAAAGCAGGGATTTATTAAAAGGTCTTTACAGGATCCACTTGGGCAGCATGAGAGCCCAGACAGGGCTACACCCAAGATGAACCAAAATGGTCACAAAATGCACAACCGCTCACAGGGTCTCTCACCTTTATAAGTTCTGCTCCATTTGCATATTGGAGTTAATTGTCCAATTACAGCTTTAGCTTATGAAGTCCCATCCTTCTTGTTTTTCTCTCTTCAGTGCATGTTTGTGCTCTTGGGCCTGAGATTTGGATCATTTGGCCTTGGTCTCCAGCTAGAGGAGGAATTGTTTTGTCTCCCTGCTCTGTACAGAGAGCTCGCCATCCCCTAATATGAATCTCAGAACTGCACACTAAAACAGCACAGAATCTGAAAAATATAAATGCTAAAACCTGATGCATTAGACTGGGGTGTTCTGAGAGGCAAAATATTCTGGTAGCTTCCAGCCACGGCTCCCTGTGGTTATTTAGAGTGTTCATGGGTGCAATAATTGCCATTTCTTGTGAGGCACAAGAAGCTGACAGTTGTGTGTGTGGAGCCTGCACTTAGGCAGGCAGCAGGAGCAGCTGCATCGCCACAGGGCTGCTTCCAGAGGATGAATCCAGCATAAGTAATGCAGAGGGGACAGGCAGGGAAAGCTAAAATGGCCTGTTTTCTCTTGCTTTCAAATTAAAAATGCAAGACGTATGTTGTGAGTCACAAAAAATCAGGCGAGGAGCTCTAAACGAGCCAGGCTGACAAGTGAAACCCAGCTCTCTTTTGCTGGGGAAGAACATTGTCTGTGATGCACACAATTTGATTTTCTTATTAGTGCAAACCTTTCTTATTGCAAATAGCTGTAGGCTTGGAATTCAGCCCGACAGGCAGCGTGGGCTGTGCCAGTTGTGCCAGGTGAAAAGCTCCTGGTTGGGCTGGCAGTGCCCTGGGTGCTGTGCCCTGCACCTGGATCTGCAGCAGTGCCCTGCCTGTGCCATTTGCATGGGAAATGCTGAGTGATCCCAAGGAATTCATGAAGGAAAATCAGCAGCTTTAGAGCCAGCAAGGGAATTCCTTCTGGGAAGCAGTAACTAATATATTGCTGCTACAAATCTTCAGCTCTGTTTTGAGTTGCAAATCTCCTGGCATTTGTCTCAGGGTAATGTTTGCTTTGCTATCCCATCTTTTACGTAATCTGTCTGTTCTTCCTTGGATCCTAGCTCTTGCTGCTGTGCTGTCTGAGGGAATTCCAAGCTGGCTACAGGAGAGATTTTGTCTTTTCCCTCATCTGCACGCTGCCTTGCACTTGCAGGAAATAGAATTTTCATAGATATAAATACAACTTCCATATATATCAAATCAATTTTTCATATATATAGCTTTTATATCTGCATATATCTCATACATATTCTTATATTGGGTGATTGAGTGCTAAAAGTCACACTGACTAGTTGGAAAAAAAATCCTTTTATATTCAGAATAAACTTCTCACATTGAGCCATCTCCAGTGTGTTGGGAGAGAACCCCGTGGCTCGACTTGTGCTTCTTCTCATTCTGCTTTCTAGATGCTGTTAAATCCTAATATATTCATTTATTTGCAGCTTCCCCTAAGAATTTAAATGCTGCTGAGGCTGTGCTGGAGCAGATGTAAAAATGAGCTGTGATTTGAGCATCTGCTTGGCAATGGGGGGGCTGATAATTGACCACACAAGATTTCTGCCAGCTGACCATTTGTCAGTGTTTGCACTTTGTTATTGCCCTTTATCCAGCAGTAAATGGAATTATTTCCTTCCTGATGAGATCCTCCTTGGCAAGTCTGGGGCTGGATGAGCTACACAAATAATGAGGCTCCTAAAACTCTGTTATTTGGAGCAGAATCACAGAATGGCTTGGGTTGGAATGGACCTTAGAGATGATCCTGTTCCACCCCCTGCCATCAGCAGGGAACTTTCCACTGCTCCAGGCACCTCTGGGAAGCTGAGCTGGCTCCTGTCTGACCTCCATCCATTTTTTTTTACCCAACCAAGACTCCATCAGGAGCTCTCCTTGAGGCTTGGTGTGCTTGCTAGAGGTTTTTGATGCTTTTAGAAATTTTATCAGACTTTCTCACAACCTGGCAGAAACCTGATAAATTATTTCCTTGGATCTCCCTGGAATCAAAGGGAGTGGAGGAGGAAATACCTTATAGAGAGGCACAAACCATCTGGTTTTACTGTAATAACAAAGATCAATATCTTAAAAAAACCAGACAGTGTGTTTAAGGTGATGGAAAGGGAGAGCAGTGTCAGGGAACAGATGGAGAAACAAATCTGTGAAATACAAATGAACTCTTTGCTAGCAGACTCTGCCTTGAAAGACTCTGGTCTCTTGATTGATGCTGAGCTGGCTGAGGGGAAGGAAAAAAACTTAATCTTGAAGCAGTTTTTACCTGCCCAAATTAATTTTGCTTGGATGGAGAGTGGGCAGGGAAGGTGCAGGGCTGGGGCTGTGCTGGCATAAAAGAAGAATTCCATTTAGTGGCTGAGCTCAGGAGGGAGATTTCACTTCAAAGCAAATGAAATCCACCTCCAAACCCTAAATTTCAAGAGATGTGGGATGGAGTAAGAATTGATAAAGTGGATTTCTAAGTTTATGGTGAGGGGAGTAAGAACTTCCCTGGGTTCAGAGTGGGAAACTTCTGGTCCAGGGCCTTTTCTAGTGGCAAATCTGAAATAACCAGAGCTCCTGGTTCCTAAATGAGTGGAACTTGCCTGAAAACCTCATCCCAAATCTGTAGTTTGGTCTTGACTGCTGTGGAAAGAATGAGGATGTGCCCAAGGAGAAAGAACTCCAAAGGTTTTCAGCACTGTGCCATGGCAGCTGAGTTTCTCCAGCCCCCTTTCCTCAGGCCAAAAGACCTCTGAGCCCTGGGGTGGATGGTGAGGCACTGGGAGAAGTTCCTCCAAATATTTGGTGGGATTAATCTACCCCTGGGACTTCCCCTCTTGGAGAGGAGCTCCAATTTTTTCCTGGAGTGAGTCAGGGTGAGAGTTTGTCCAAGTCCTTTCTCTCCTCAGGGGTGAAAAGTGCACCCCTGGCAGCAGGAAATGTTCCTTGTGTTTTTATGACCCGTTTCACCTCTGACTCAGAAGGCCAAGAGAGGGAAATGAGATGTAGGAAGGCTCAAAATCTGTAAAATAAAAGTTGTGATTTCTTCCACACTTACTGCAGACAATGGGAACTGCTGTGTACAGTGAGAGTTTGCCTTGGAGAACCTCCCTTCCTCCCACACAACCCGTGGATTTCTCAAGAAAAACTTCTAAAAATCCTGCCTAGAACTATCAGTTTTTGGCAAGAAGTTGTTCCTTTGGGTAAGCAGGAGCTGATCCTGCAGTTCATGAAGGAGGCTGGGATTGCTGGGGAGA